CAACGATGAAGTCAGACGACGAGTGCTGGGACCAGATAGTCTTCCTTTGGACAAAATTTCACAGCATCTTCTTAGGTGCCTAGGGCACGTCCTACGAATGCCTGAGCACCGTCTGCCACATCGTGCACTATTCGCAGACGTTGGTCCAGGCTGGAAGAAGCAACGAGCAGGGCAGGCTATGACGTGGCGCAGAGGGTTAAAGAGATTGTGCTCGGATCTGGCTTCCGTTGGGGTTTCTCGGCTCCCCGGCTGGGGCCCCAAGGATTCAGATCGTCTTTGGCTGGAGACACCGCGGGATATGGCATCGAACCGAAGTCAGTGGCGCGAATGCATCACCTCTTGTCTACAATCCCAAAAATAAGCAAAAACGAAAAAAAACTCAAAATGGCGTGCAGTAAACAAACAAAAAGTTGTTACTCCTCGAAGTTGACTGTTTTATTTTCCCCGGTTTTGTACCTATATTTTTTCGTTCACCCATGGTTATTTTTGGCGCCGTACCCGTAAAGATTGGTGTTAATATATACATTACATATATATATATATATGTTACCGTTATATTTTGCCGCAGCTACTTTCAGTGAAACCTAAAAGCTTCAAAGAGACTTACAATCAATGACATGAGTAAGAACAAGTACAAACCATCAAATCTTCAGGTTCACTCACATTGACATGTTCCAATTACGAGACTCTGTAGCCGGTAAGCAGGAATCTCGATTTTCTAGCTTTTTCAGCTATACACGGTACAACGATGCAAAAATGGCTTTTCTCCGGTTTCCGTGGTGCACCAAGTCACTAACTTCAATTTGGAAATCTGCTTTTGACAAAACGCCTCGACATCCGCGCGGCCTTCGACTCTGTCGATAGGACCACATTATGGAACTGTTTGCTGAGGAATGGAGTACCTGAGAAGTATGTGTCGATCCTCAAAGAGTTGTATCGTCATACCTCAGGTCGGGTTAGGGCCTACGGCCAACGTTCGCCACCCTTCGCCGTCTCCAGTGGAGTTCGACAAGGCTGCCCTATATCCCCATTCCTTTTCAACTTTGTCATAGAACGCTTTGTCCGGTCTAGCAAACGGTGGGGTTAAACTCCTCCCAGGGAACAGAATTCTTGACTTGGAATATGCCGATGACATCGCCTTGCTGGGTGACAACACACAGGCAGTCCAAGAGGCTCTGAACCGCTTGGCGATCGAGGTATCCAGATATGGTATGTGCTTTGCACCTTCCAAATGCAAAGTTCTTGTTCAAAACTGGCAGGAGCCTGTGCCTGCACTCACCCTCTGTGGTGATCAGCTGGAAGTAGTTGAGAGCTTTAAGTACCTCGGAAGCTTGTTCGCAGCTGGTGGTGGTGTTGGGGACGAGATCACATCACGAATAGCGAAAGCTAGAGCAGCTTTCGCCAACCTGCGACACCTGTGGCGCCGCCATGACATCCGATTGTCCCTTAAGGGAAGGGTGTATATCGCCGCAGTTCGTAGCGTTCTGCTTTACGGTTGCGAGACCTGGCCTCTCCGAGCGGAGGATGCTAATCGACTTTCTGTGTTTGACCACCGATGTCTCCGAAGCATTGCTCGTGTCTGGTGGGAACACCGGGTGAGCAATGACGAGGTCCGTCGTCGTGTGCTTGGTGCAGATAGTCGCCCTCTAACA